CTTTCCAATGCGATCATTTACTTCTTCATCCAGTGAGAGATTGGTGATCACTGTAGAACCTAAATAGTTGAATTTTTGGACTACTTCTATCTGGTTTGCATTTAAGGTGATTGAAGGATCTTGTGGAACCCCCTGTCCTAATACAACCATTTTCTTGATGCTGATGGTGAGAGCAAATGCCTGACAGGCACTTGAAAAGCGGTCTATGAGTTCTTGTAGTAGATCTTCATTGTGGGCTATGAGGGCAGTATCATCAGTGAATAGACGTTCCCTGATTAGCACCTCTTTTACTTTGGTCTTTGACTTAAGTCAGGACAGGTTGAAGAGTTTCCCATCTGATCTTGTGTGGAGATACACTCCATCTTTCATGTCCTTAAACGCATAGTTCAAGAGTATCAAGAAGATTCCAAAGAGTGTAGGAGCAAGAACACATCCTTGCTTTGCTCTGCTTTTCATCTCAAAGCTGTCTGAAGTGGACTCGTCAAATTGGACAGTTGCTCTCATGTTTTGTGGAATGAACATATAAGACTTAACAGGGTTGGTGGGCATCCTATCTTTTCAAATATTGCAAATAGACCTGCTCTGCTGACTGTGCTGAATGCTTTGGTTAGGGCCACAAAGGTGATGTATAATGGTAGGTTTTGCTCTCTGCATTTTTCTTGGAGTTGAAGCAGAGAAAATATCATGTCTATAGTTGATCTTCCAGCCCTGAATCTGCACTGTGATTCGGAGTAGATATGATTCGCCAACTGTTGTAGGTGCACTAAGATGACTTTTGCAAAAGCTTTTCCTGCTACACTTGGTAGCGAGATACCCCTGTATTTGTTGCAGTCACCCTTTTCGCCTTTATTTTTATACAAAGTGATGTTGTTTGCATCACACATCTCTTGTGGTACCTCACTCTCTTCCAGCATTTAAGTAGCAGCTGATGAAGATATGGTAATAGGCTGCCTTTCCCGCACTTGAGGATTTCCACTGGGATGCCATCTTTTCCAGGAGCCTTGCCACTTGAGAGCAAATCAATGGCCTAGCTTAGCTCTTCTACAGTGGGCTCCACATCTAGCTCTGGCATGACTGTAGAGCTGGTATTTGGTCCAGTGATTCGCTGGTGATGTTTCTTTCTTGTGCATATAGCTCTGAATAGTACTGGCTATTGGATGCTAAGCTAACTTCATTCTTCTGGGGGATTCTCTTTACTTTCTCGCTTTTCTGCCCACCATTTTCACTGCACCCCCTAAAGAGGTTTAACATAGTCCTATCCAACTTCCTTATGCCATACATACTCTTCCTTACAGCTTAGCAAGAACAATATGGCAACTATCACACTGCTCATACTCAATCCAGTTGACAATTTCTCCTCTCCCTCCACCTTCTAGAAGCTTGAAAATCGGACTTTCAAAGCCAGGAGTGGACTAGCATTTTTATATTCATTCTTAATTTTATGTAAACAGTTTTAGTTAAAATATAGTTGGCCATTTTCAAAGCTAAAAGAAAGTTGAGCGCCTTTTCTCTAGAATTAGAGAGAGATGTATTTATGTAAACAGCTGAAATTGGCAGTGTTTTCCAACTACAAGAGTTGATTGATTTTGTTATAGCACTTTTTAAAAAAGTGATAAAAATGTAAAACACTAAACCAGAAATTATTTGCATACCAACATTAAGATGCCTTTGTTGGCATTAATCAAAGTTGTAGTTTGGCTCCATCATTTTCACAATGAAAGCTATTACACTGTTAATACATATTGTGCACTGCCTTGGAGCACATTTGTGTTGAATAATAAGAATATCTCTACAATCTCATCTATTCCAGTAATTCCCCCACCCTACTACCTCAGCTCTCATGGCCATAAAGCTACAACTCTGGAATTTTCTCTTTTATGGATCAAAATGCTGCTTGCCGTTAGATAAGGAATGTTTCACACAACACCCCAGCATTAGAACATGTAATGTAAAGGGCCTTTTATTACTGCAGAAAATTCTGAATTCTGTAAATGCTGGTGTGGTTGCAAGAGCCTGGGGTTCATTTTAACACTCAGCGCTGATCTTTGCACATGGCAGTAGCCATACAGGTCCTTCAGAAAAACTGAACAAAGTAGATAATGGGATATCCTTTATTGGACAAGGGAGGTGAGAGTTAACGGTAGTAATTTTACCCAAGTTAGAACCATTGTTACTCCATAGAGAAGACAGAAATATAGAGGAGTTTGAAATACTGCCTGATAATACCAAGCACTGAGACTGGAATTTTCAAATCCTAGGATTTAGAGGCCTAACTCCCTCCAGCTCCTTTGAATATCCCAGCCTGATGCTTTCTCTTTCCTGTGCTTTGCCTTAGTCACGCCTGTACCAAAAAAAAAAAAAAAAAAAATCACATCTTTGTGTCTTATATTATAACATTCTTCTTATGTTCTTGTTGAAAAAAGCAAGTCTTAGCATGTTAAATCTGATTTTCCTGAAATACTGTATCAATGGAGATATTAGGAACCACGGAACACAGATTTTCAAAACTTCATAGTCCTTTATATTCACTATTTAATAATAAATATTCTCAAAATGGTTTTTGTTGCACTAATGAAAAATGTGGGCAATTTCCAATGGCAAAACTAATACCTCTCAGTGTTCATGAATAGTAACCAAACAAGTTGTAGCTTATAGAGGTATTGATTTCAAATTCCGCTAAGATTGTTCTTTCATTGCACAGTTAGTACTTTTTTAAAACACTGATTCAGTTGTAGATTAATTAGAGCTAAACTGGTCTTTCCCATCTTCAATCAGAGCTTCAAGATGTGGGTTTATGAATCCCAGGAGTGGGTTGAGTTAACCCTCAGTATCTTGTTTGACCATTTAATTGCCACACCCTTTGTGATATAGGGCCCTGCTCCATAAACACTATGGGCAGGTGCATACTACAAACTTGCATCGGCATAGGCACCGCTGTAGCTCTTCTGGTGAAGATGCTCTAAGTCAGTGGTTCCCAAACTGGGGTTCGTGAACCCCTGGGGGTTCGCAAAATGTTACAGGGGGTTCTTGGGAAAAAATTCTCTAATGGCGGTCAGAGATGTCCCTAGGGATCCTGGGCAGCATGGGGCCAGCAGCCTGGAGACCCTGGACTTCCAAGAGCTAAGCAGATCAAAGCAAGCATTGCTATCACACTGAGGAGATTTAAACGTCAAGACTCCTTATAAGAAATGGAAAGGGAGGTGGATATTTTTTGCTGTTTTTAAAATTATATAGGCAGCTAGTATTGTTTTTAAAATTATTATGAACAATTTTAAGCTTTGTTGTAACGTGCATTGTTTGCCTGGACTGCTCAAGACCTGAATGCTTGTGTAGGAGGAACTCTTTGAGTTGGCTTCTTAAATGCCTTCATGCTGTTTCACATCTGAAACATAGGAGCCTTGTCTTATAACAGGCTTATTCAAAGTGATACAAGCTACAAAAGTGAGATCTTGGAAGAGTGTTGCCGTTTTCATAATGCAATAAAAATACTGTAATGATAACTAATAATTAATAACAAATAGTGTGTAATAAGCATGTCATAAAAACAAATTTTATATTTCCAAGATCACTGCTTTTATAATTTATACTCAGGTAAAGGAGAAAATCCCTGGAAATATTCATTTTTAGGAGGGGGTTCGCGAGACTTGACATTTTAGTGAAAGGGGTTCACAGGTTGTTAAAGTTTGGGAACCACTGCTCTAAGCTGATGGTAGAGAACTCTCCTGTTGGCTTAATAACTCCACCTCAACGAGAGGGGGTAGCTACATCAGTGGGAGACACTCTCCCGCCAACATAGCGCCATCTACACGGGGGTTAGATCAGTATAACTATGTCACTCAGGGGTGTGGATTTTTTACATTCCTGAGCAATGTAGTTATACTGAAGTAAGTGTGTAGTGTAGACCTGGCCCACCAAACGTAAGTGCTCACTAGGACTGCTCTGGTAGTAATCACTATGCCGGGTAGTGTTTGCAGAATCAGGTGCATCATTGGTTTTTATAGCTATGACATCTTTATTATACTGCACTGTAACGTGGCTTTTTTCATGTGGATTAGATAAATTATATTACACGAGCTTTTGATCAAAACATTTCTTTAACCAAAGTTAGTGAATTTACAACTTATTCTAGTCACATTGGGAAGACTGGATTTAAACATCTGTATACAGCCACCTAGTGTGGGAGAGGAAAATTGCAACCCATCACCTATGTCCTTTAATGGTCCGATGCTACATGAGGATACCTTCTGTGAACAAAGAGGCCGCATGCTTCACTAGGCTGAGCAAGGCTTGCTCCTCCCAGCTTTGTCCCAGCGAAGGTGACTGGATTTTTGAAGTGAATCCTGGGACCCCTGTCATGGGGGGACAGGGGTGGTGGTGAAGGTACGTAGGGGACAGTTCTGCTTAGCATCCAGAGGGTGTGCATGGGAGGATGACAAAGAAAAAGGTGCCTTTTCTTCAGCCATGCAAACTCTCCATCCTCACACTTCTCAGTTTCCATACCACCCTGTACAATTTGTCACTACACACACCAGAGGGCCACTGGGAGGACTCTCACAGGCGTGAGTGGAAGTTCATCGAAAGGCCTGGTGGTGATGGTAGGTTGTCAACAGGTGAAAAACTTGGTAGGGAATAGCCCTTGTGGTGCACGTGTCCTTTGAGCCTGTTACCTATGTCACTGGCTGAGTTACATTCAGATTCTCCCTTTTTCATCAAGAGGAGCTATTGGGCTTACTGCTGGGCGTGTCTGTAAGAGTCAGCATGAAAAACAGCCCCTGCTAACTTCTTCAAGTATTTTATTAACAGGTTTTTTCCTAGTGCCATGTAAATTAAACTGGACTAAAAACCAACAGAAAATTGGATGATTCCATGTATCTAAGTACTGTACACGGCACTGGCTTAGCAGAATACAGCCATTCAATTCTGAAAAGTTCAGAAAATGGTAAAAAGAGAGGCTTGAGCCAATTTCCATTGCCATTTGAGACAGGATGTTTTACCAGGTCCTAACTTTTGCATGTAGCGTATTTGTTTTCTTGCTCAGTAATGTCATTTTTTATGGCTATTACTTGATCCTCTAGTTGCTTTAGTTGATCAGCCTTATCTTGTTTAGTCTGATTCAGATCTTGGAGCTTCTTTGCCAAATCTGAAAGAAGAAAGTAACATTTAATGATGCATTTATTGTTGTGCAAGTAAAACTGTGGATAAAACACACGTGTTTTCTCCAGGGGATTCCCTGGAGAAATGTGTGTTGCCGCTAAAACTATTTGATAAGAACACGTGTGTTTTATCCGCAGATTACAACAGCCTTCAAGATGTTTATTTTTCCAAGTGTGCTTTTATTGTTAGCCATTGTGAGTAAGGCTTTGTCTACGCTACACAGCTCTTAGCGACACAGCTGTGCCACTACAGCCATGCCGTTAAAAGGCACACCGTGTAGTCACTATTTGTCGGCAGGAGAGAGCTCTCCTGCCGACAAAAAACTTCCACCCCACACGAACGGCATTAGCTTTATTGGCAGGACAGTGCTTCTGCTGACAAAGCGCTGGCGCTTTTCCTCGACAAAACTTTTGTCTTTTTCGGGTGGGATGTGTGTGTTTTTTTTAACACCTCTGAACAACAAAAGTTTTGTCAGTCACTTGCCAGTGTAGACATAGCCTTAGTCTGTGGAGACCTTGTTTTGGTCAGCTGGTTTCAGTGGCAATGACTCAAATGAACTGAGCACTCAGCAGTGTAAATAAAGGCTCACAGTCTGGCTCCAAATAACTCATGCTACTCTCCTTCATGGGAGTTTTATGCAGGTAATTCCACTGGCTTCTACACACTTACTCCAGATTTACACAAGGGTTGTTCAGAGGCCCCCAGTCCTTATCATGAAAACACGTGCATTGACAATGAATCAAAACTGCATTTCTTCATGATGTGCAGTCCTAAGATCCCCATCATCATCGTTTCGGGGCCTTTGGACTGGGGAATGCTCGGAGACAACAGAACAGGGGGTTATTTTTCTTCAGTGGCTTTTCTCAAGGTTTATTTCCTCTTGTGCTCCCCTTCCTACCCCCCATTAACATCCAAAAGAATTTACTCCCATGCTGGCATTTGCTGTTTGGTTATTTTTATAGGTCGCTCAGCCTGGTAGGAACAAGCCCGGTACTGGTCCCAGTGCTGCTTTCTTTGAAATCAGTGATAAAACTTCCATACGTGTCAATGGATGCAGGATTGGGCCCATTCAGTAGACTGCTGCTATGTACTTTGATCGTTTGCTAGTGATATTACTGTGATTTACTATTGACACACAGACTGTGACTCTAATAAAAGTAAAAACAATGAGGAGTCCTTGTGGCACTCTAAGGTGCCACAAGAACTCCTCGTTGTTTTTGCTGATACAGACTAACACGGCTACCACTCTGAAACCTGTCTAATAAAAGTGAAAAGCCTAATGCTCAAACAGCATCCCACCAGCATGTCCCAGCCACTCGGTGTTTGCATTCAGTTGTGCTTTACAGATGTGCACAGAATCCCATCAGGACACAAAGGGCTTGATCTTACAAGGTGCCGAATATCCTCACTTCCCATTGGCTCCACTGGTGCTTGTTGTATTCCACCCCTCACCACCCATCCCAAATTTTCACCACTTGAATAACTTTTCCCCATTCCCCAGGCAAACCTGCTGATTCCAATGGGAACCAAAGGTGCCCAGTACTGGGCAGGATTGTGCTTTAGGATTGTTGCGACCAGTGTGTTTTTAAATCAATTCGGTTAAATCATTGCAGAACCCCGTGTGGATGCTCTTACTCTGATGTAAGCTTGGCTTATAGCAGCTTGTGTTAGAAAATGTACAGGCACAGCTAAACCAAGGTAACCAGTTTGAAACTTTGCACCAGTTTAACTACGTTGGTTTTTAAACCGATTGTAGGTAAGGTAGTGCACTGTGTATGTGTAGACAAGGCCTTCAGGTTATATTTCCGTCTTTCAGCATTTTCATATGTATTTCACTGCTGGGCATGGAAATGAAAGTGGGACACCTGTTATTCTTTTGATTTTTTCTTCAGTCTCTTCAGCCAGTTTCTCTGCTGCTTCTTTCAGCTTCTTCAGTTTCTCTAATGTTTCTCTTGGAAGCCCTTTTATTTTTACTTTTTCTTGCAGAATGGTGTATTTTCTCTTAAGGTTTGCAAATTCCTGCAACAACAACAAAAACAAACAAACCCCACTTTATTTTGTGTAACGATGTGTCCTGTAATTTATTTGACCTGCGAAGAAAGCAGAGATTTTTCTACCTCATTTACCACTCCTCTCTGAATCACACATTATGTCTTTCATTCTTTTTAATCTAAAACTCACCCAGGATAAATATGCATTGGATGAAGCCCTAAAAATGCAAAATCCAGCAGAAATCAAAATAAAAACAATCTTGTCTGTTGAACAATCCAAAATAAAGAGAGGATGGAGCTGGATAATAAACATAATTTAAGCAGGATTTTAAAAGATTGTGTTATTCCTAGTTTATTTCCCTTTATTGGTTTTGTGTTTGCTTCCATTTTAGACACAAGGCTCAATTCAGTTTTAATGAACTAGGCATAGCATAATTTTTACAAATTTGGTTTAATAATATTTACTTTCTGGCTCCATGCCTACTTGGTTTTGGTTACTGCGAAGGTTGCAATTTGATTTCTGCTGGAATTCATGTAGTGTAGTGGCTCATTCAGTGCATACTTTGGCTTTTGATCTGTGCCTGTTTGTTATCCATACACAGAATTCTGGAAAATTTCTACCTAGCTCAGTGGGTACTTAAGAATTTGAGCTATATTTAGCATTAAGGGGAAAACACAAAACAGTTTTCTCTGAACTCAAGTGTGTTAAATGCAAGGGACAAGATTGTGATACCTTCACTCACAATGAGTAGTATCTTGCCCCAGGATGTAATGTACTATTCAATGGGAGTAAGGATATCACAGTCTGGCCCAAGATTTGTGTTTGTTTAAATTGATGTAAGTAAACAGGACTATTGTTTGCTGGATAAGTTAAAATGGGAAGGAAACGCTTCTGATTCTGTGCAACTCTAAACTGGATGGCATAATGGAAAATTTAAATAAATCTTGGAAGGTGCATATATGCATATTTACACTACACTTTTCATTCAAAAACAGCGAAAAACATGTGGGAAGGGCAGCGATTTTCTTTCTTGAATACGTGACAGAAATACATTACTTTATCTGTGTCCATAGCTTGATTTTGTGCCTGTTCTGCATCTGCTTTTGCATTTGCAGCCTGGTTCCCATTCATCAGCATTTTCCTCTGCAGCATGGCAATTTCATCTTCCAGCTCAGACTGTTTTTCTGAAAAGTCCTTTAGTTCATCACTTGTCTTATTCACTTGATTCTCAGCCTATAGGAAAACAACCAGAAGGCCATACTCCCTTTATGCAATGTATAACTAACCTGCAAAACTCACCACTGAAGGATATTAAGGCAAACAGATTAACAAGTCCCCTTTAAAGTGGAACTGGTGCCATGTCTGGGCCAAAACCTTTTCACATTTACACTGGTCTAAATTTGCAGTATCTTTGAGATCTTTGCATCGCAATCTAGGTTTTAAAAACAGGCTGTAATTTAAGTGAATTGCAAGAATCATAACATCACACAATAAATGGATTAAAAAGCTACAATCATTGGCTACATTGTACATAAAGATACCTGTGAGATTTTTGTCTTAATTTCTTGTATCTCTCCATTTAACCTTATGAAGGTGTCTTTGGTTTGTCCTTTTGTGCTTTCAGCTTCCTTCAGGTTATTTATCATTTCATCAAGAGGTGGCAGAGTTTTTGCTGCTTCCCTAAAATAAAAGTAAATAGTTGTATAATATTGTAATGTGTAAATCTAGTAAAAGGCATATTCTCAAATCCCTTTATACCCCCAAACCCAGAAATGCATTACTAGTCCCCTGGTTCCTTGAGCCCAGCATTCACCAGCTCTTCCAAAAATCTAGAATTGCTGGTCCCAATGGGATGGGAAAGCAACCCATCAAAAAGAGAAATCAACGTAGACTTGAAAATTAAGTTTGGGGTGTGATGCGGCAGGCTGGCTGATGCTACGCTATCGTTCAGGAGGCCAAGGAGCTGAATACATTTTCCTCCTCCCCACATTCCTACTCTGGTTCCATATCACCATTCAAACCTCCCAATGAACGAGGTCCCAAATGAAGTGAAGAGCTTCCTCGGATTGACAATTCTGCTTGGCTAGTTCAGCAGGCAGAGCAGTCAAGAGCTAGCAGAGATGTAGACCCAGATCCTCAAAGGTTTTTAGGAGCCAAACTTCCATCAATGGGAGTTAGGTGTCTAAATACATGAGAGGATCTGGGCTGTAGCCTTTGATGGTTTACATAGCTTTGTGTGGTGAGAAAGGTGTCAGACCATTACCATTGGAGGGAGGCCCCAGTGCAAATGAAAAGTAGGAACATGCTGTAATGAAAGCCCTGAACTTATCTGCTGTGTAGCCCTTCCACCTGCTGGCTGGCATACTGAGTGACCTCACTAATGAATTTGCCTTTGGTACGTGCACTGCAATTTCATTTAGATTTATCACATCAGTAAGAGAATATTCTACTCACTCAGCTTGTTTTGCTTCCACCAGAAGTTTTTGGGCATCTTTCCTTTGGTTATTTAACTTGTTCACATTTATTTCATAGTGTGTTACAAGGTTCCTGATTTTATCAAGCATATTTGTTAGCTCTTGTGGAGTCCTTGGAAGGTTTACATCTAGAACATGCTTTGCAACCTTCTCTATGTCTTCTGGAGGTGCACTTCCATCTTTAACAAATAGAGTATAGAACATAATAAGATCTACCTTTCTACACAGTGAAATTTAAACATTAGTACAATGTCATGTATGCTGAGTTATGTTGGCTAATAAAGTTGACAAACACAGTAAGGAGGGGTCAAGCAATTCTTTCTCCCCTTTTTTTTAGTGTAATGTTATATTTCAAGGTGCTGCTAATCTGTTGTCAGAGCAGGATAAAAATGGATTTGAGCCTACTTTGAACTGGTGTATTAAAATTTGGGTGTAAAACTCAATCCACAAAGGGTTCTAAATCACCAATGTATGAAGTGTTGTTGTAGCCATCGGTCCCAGGATATTAGAGAGACAAGGTAGGTGAGGTAATATCTTTTACTGAACCAGCTTCTGTTGGTCCAATAAAAGATATTATGTCACCCTCCTTGTCTCTCTAAATCATTGACACATTTTGCTGTGTTGTGCAAAGCCCATTTCTCCCCCCACCCACCAGATCAAAGGGACACCAAGGTAAGTGTGGTGGGAACATGGCCACAATGTTTAGAAGGTTTCAGAGTGGTAGCTGTGTCAGTCTGTATCAGGAAAAAGAACGAGGAGTACTTGTGGCACCTTAGAGACTAACAAATTTATTTCGGCATAAGCTTTCATGGGCTAAAACCCACTTCACTGGATGCATGCAGTGGAAAATACAGTAGGAAGATATATATACACAGAGAACATGAAAAAATGGGTATTGCCATACCAACTCTAACTAGACTAATCAATTAAGGTGGGCTATTATCAGCAGGAGAAAAAAAAACTTTTGTAGTGATAATCAGAATGGCCCATTTCCAACAGTTGACAAGAAGGTGTAAGTAACAGTAGGGGAAAAATTAGCATGGGGAAATACCTTTTACTTTGTGTAATGACCCATCCACTCCCAGTCTTTATTCAAGCCTAATTTAATGATTTCCAGTTTGCAAATCAATTCCAGTTCTGCAGTTTCTCGTTGGAGTCTGTTTTTGAAGTTTTTTTGTTGAAGAATTGTGACTTTTAAGTCTGTAATTGAGTGACCAGGGAGGTTGAAGTGTTCGCCGACTGTTTTTTGAATGTTATAATTCTTAACATCTGATTTGTGTCCATTTATTCTTTTGCATAGAGACTGTCCGGTTTGGCCAATGTACATGGCAGAGGGCCATTGCTGGCACATGATGGCATATATCACATTGGTAGATGTGCAGGTGAACGAGCCTCTGATAGTGTGGCTGATGTGATTAGGTCCTATGATGGTGTCCCTTGAATAGATATGTGGACAGAGTTGGCAGCGGGCTTTGTTGCAAGCATAGGTTTCTCAAGATTTTTAAGCCAGTCTTGTAGTTTTGGTTTTGAACATTTGGGGTTGGCAATCCAGTACAGGGCCGGCTCCAGGCACCAGCCTGGCAAGCAGGTGCTTGGGGCGGCCGCTCCGGAGAGGGGTGGCACGTCCAGCTATTCGGCGGCAATTCGCGGACGGTCCCTCACTCCCGCTCGGAGCGAAGGACCTTCCCCCAAATTGCCGCCGCAGATCGCGATTGCGATCGCGGGTTTTTTTTTTTTTTTTTTTTTGCTGCTTGTGGCAGCCAAAACCCTGGAGCCGGCCCTGATCCAGTAACACCCAGCCCGCTGTGGTGGAGTGACAGCTGGGAACAGAGTCATCCTTTGCAATGAGACATCTAAATTACTTTAGACTCAACACTAGAAATGACAGTGGTGTGCTGTTCAGGGGGCACCATTAACTCCTTCATTCCTGAGGGGTAATTTTCTTAGACATATTTAAAAACAAAGAACAGAAACAAAAGCTACTACACATGGCAATGCTCAGTGTGGCTGAGTTAACATTGCCATAGGCACCTTAACTGTTGTATATCCTGCCTTTTTAATTTGTAAGTAAGAGCAATTATGAATGATTCATTCACCGTTGCTATCAAGTAAACAAAATCTACGAATCACTAGGACTTATGCACAGTTTTGCCTTTATTTTTGATAAAGTAATTTAATTGTCTCATTGCAAAGGATGACTCTATTCCCAGCTGTCACTCCACCACAGCGGGCTGGATGCTACTGGATTGCCAACCCCAAATGTTCAAAAATTGTAAGTCAAGCCACCAAAACCACGAGACTGGCTTAAAAATCTTGAGAAATCAATAAAGCTGGGGGTTTTTTTTACTTGCCTTCTGGGTTTTTTGGGTGGGTTTTTTTTTTTTTTTTTTAACCTTTAGGATTCACCTATTTTCCACAACAATGAGGCCTAGAAACTTTATTTTAAAATGAAAGCAGAGATGCTGTAATCACTTGACTTCGGGACTAGGGCACTAAGAAGAACACCAAATATTGTGAGATTCACAAGAGCTGGCAACACAGATTTGGTGCATTCATTGTCCTAGCTATTTTTAAAAAAGGAGAGGAAACAGGTCAAGGGAGGGGTGAGAGGAAAGTCCCCAGTTCCCTCCCTACCATGCAACAGTCAACCCGGTACCTCTTAGTGAGCATGGAAAACTGCATCCTTAGGGGCTTGCTGGGCTTTATGCAGGTGAAGTGCACAGGGCCAGTGCAACCATTAGGCGAACTAGGCGGCCGCCTAGGGCGCCAAGTGGTTGGGGGCATCAAAAAGTGCGCTCAGGGGAGGTGGTGGAGTGTAGGTGAGCTGGGGCAGGGGGGCGCGGGGAGGGCTGCCCGCAGCAAGTAACAGGGCAGGGTATGCAGGAGAACTGCTCCCCGCCCCAGCTCACCTCATCTCCACCTTCTCCCCTGAGCATGCCGTCCCAGCTCTAATTCTCCTCCCCTCCCAGGCTTGCGGCGCCAAACAGCTGATTGGTGCTGCAAGCCTGGGAGGCGGGAGAAGTGGAGCTGTGCCAGCATGCTCAGGGGAGAAGGCGGAGCAGAGGTGAGCTGGGGCAGGGATCTGCCGCGGGGGGGCGTCGCAGGGCTGGGAGCTGCTGCAGGGGGGCTCCCCGGCCGGAGGAGGGGGCGGGGAGCTGCTGCAGGGGGGGCCCCCCGGCTCTTTCCCATGGCCCCCACCCCTGCTTTGCCCCAACCCCACCTCTTCCCGCCCCAGCCCCACCCCCACTCCCCTGAAGACTGTAGCCAGGCCCGACCCTGCACTCACCGCATGGTAAGTGGAGTGACCCAACCCCAGCCTGGTCCGCTCCCCTGGCTCCCAGCCGCGCCGCCAGCAAGTGCTGGGAGGCGGTTCTCCCCTCCCTCCTCCCCGCAAGCCTGGGAGCCAGGGGAGCAGAGCAGGCTGGGGCCCCAGGCCTCCACGGGGGGGGCAGGGGTGGGGCTGGCCCCAGGCCTCCGTGGGGGATGGTGGGCTGACTACTTCCTGCGGGAAGTGGAGTGACCCGGCCCCAGCCTGCTCCGCTCTCCTGGGTCCCAGGAACCGCCCCTCACCCCCCACCCCGCAGTCGCCAGCGGTGCGGCTGGGAGCCAGGGGAGCGGAGCAGGCTGGGGCCGGGTCACTCCACTTCCTGCAGGAAGTGGCCAACCCCCCATCCCCCAAGGAGGCCTGGGACCAGCCCCTACCCTCCCGTGGAGGCCTGGGGTGGGGCCCCACACAGCCCCCCCACGGAGGCCTGGGCCCCCCTCTCCCCGTGCCTGGGGCATAGGGCACCAAAATAGCTAGGGACAGCCCTGGCTCCCCGAAATATCCTTGCATCGGCCCTGGAAGTGCAGCTCCCAGGGGATGAGGATGCAGAGCAGGCCCCAGGCTTGTAGGCTGGAGCTGCAGATGCTCTGACCCACTTATGGCTGTTAGAGCTGCATGAATGTGGATCCACCGCCCCCCCCCCCCCAGCCACCCTCATTATCACCTTCTGCCGGCCTATTCGGGGCTGTGGAATGTATCACTGTGTCCTGATTTCTGCAGGACTAGTGGGGGAAGGCTGAATGTGCCTTGTGCCCTCCGCTGGCAGCCCTGCCTATCTGGTCACTCCCCACATGTGGATCCCCATGGAGAACTTTCTATGCGGGAAATGCTCTGGAGCTTGCGGGCATGACTGGACCAACAATTAGTTGTGTAAGGCAGTAGCCATCCGGAGTCCAGACCACTTGCATCCGCATGCTTAACATTAAGACCATTAATAAGTCGTTACAGGGTTGGGACTTAATAGATCTCTGGGAAATAGTCCAACATACTGATATGCCATAGGAGGGAGAGCTGTGTGAAACAGCATCGCTGAAAGAGATTGATCAAGTCTGAAAGTAAACAGCAAATCTGACGCATGTGTGCAGTGTGTGGCTGTTAAAGCTGAAAATGCCAGTGCATTTTGGGGGTGCCCAGGCTGAGGCATCATATTACAGAGCAGAGAGGTAAATGTCATATGATATTGAAATACAGGAAACAGGATTCAAAGAAGAACTTTCTTTGCATATTTACCTAACAAAAAGTCTTTCACTTTTCTGATGAACTCCTTTACATTCTCTCTATCAATTTCAGTTTGATTCTTAGCTTTCTCTAGTTTCCCATGTAACTGTGAGCCTTTCGTCTTGGTGTCTTCTGCCATTTTTCTGATGCTTTCAATCTGGAAATATTTTTAAATATAGTGTTATCCTCTCTAGGGTTTAAATGTCATTGTTTGGCAAGCTCGGCTCCCATCGGAACATATTAAAACAACACTTATAAAAGACTCCGGGCCAGGTTCTTGTCCTGTTAAACTGAGTGGGTGTTATAGCATTGACTTCATTTGGACCGACACCAAAGACGACATAACATATTCCTTCCATTTTCACAGACTATTAAACAATTATTGTTTTGAAGGCAAAAAATACCTACTGTTAAACAAGATGCTGCACCTCACTCACTCTTAAAATGATATGGACATTCAGGTTGAAGGAGGGGAATATCTCATAATTGCATCTACTCCCCCCCCCCTTTCTGCTTGGAATCAGTGTAAAATGTAATATTATTACACTTATTATTAAAATTATTACATAAAGGATGGTGCCAAGGCCCATAGGTTTAAAATATACCTTTAAAAGTTCAATGTTTCCATTAATACTATATTCATAATCATTTAGGGATTGTCTACTCTTAAAATGCTGCAGCAGCGCAACTGCACCACTGTAGCACTTCAGTTAAGACACTACCTACGCTGCTAATGGCAGAGATTCTCCCATCAGGAGAATCCACCTCCCCAAACGCAGTAGCTGGGTCAATGGGATCATTCTCCTGTCAGCCTAGTGCTGTATTTAGGTTGGTTTAATTGCATTGCTCAGGGCTGTGTATTTTTCACACCTCTGACAAGGTAGTTAGTTATACCGACCTAATTTCCTACTGTAGACCAGGCAGGCCTCAGTTGATTTTATTTTAATTAGCTATGTTTCAACAGTTTTTAAACAGCAAAACAGGTGTTTGTTTTGCTGGAGGCCATATTGTGCTTTAGGTGAAACTTCTATGCACTGGTTCTCTGCAATCCAGGGAGAGAATGCTTCACACACGCTTCAGACAGATTCATTAATCCTTACAATTTCCCTGTAAGGTACTGTAAATATCACCTATATTTTATAAAGAAGGAAACTGAGGCCCAGAGAGGTTAAAGGGACATTGTCAACATGAAAAATCAAGTTTCTGTCTGAAAATGTTTGACCTATTTTTGTTACAAGTATCACCTATGATTATCAGGATTGAAAGAAACTAGTAATGAGAACAATTTTTTTAATATTTGTCCACTTTGTTTACTGTGCATTTGACAGGATTTTATGTATAGTCATTTTCACTGTTTTGTTGCATAGCTAGCAAAGGAGAAGTGGCAAATGAAGAGATCCGTATAAGACATCACAGAAACAGAACATCTCATATTTTTAAAGACATTTTTAAAAGTGAAAGACAAACTATTTAAAGAGTGTGCTCTCAGAGAATGACTTTTTAAAAAAATTACCTGTGAACTTAAATGAACTCTAAGCACGTGAGGAATCCCATTGATATCAATGAGCATGCATCGGGATTTATTCAGGTGCATAATGTTAAGCAAGTGGTTAAGTCTTGGCAGGATCAGGGCCAATGTCTTGCAAGGTCACCTGTCGAGTCTGTGGCACAGTCAGGAATAGAATTTAGCTTTCCTGACTCCCAGTCCTGTGCTTTAGCCACGAGATGACATTTCTTCTCTGATGTAAAAAGGCAAACTGGGACAAGAGAGGTAGATTTTTCACTTTAGAAGACAATGACAGCACATCAAATATTTGGCTTACTAATTTTGCCACTGTTTGTAGTATTGTAGCCAGGTGTTGGCCCCAGAATATTAGAGAGACAAGGTGGGTGAGGTGATATCTTTTATTGGACCAACTTATGTTGGCAAGAGAGACAAGCTTTCAAGCTACATAGAGCTCGTCTTCAAGGCTGGGAAAGGTATGCAGCATTTCACAGCTAAATACAAGGTGGAACAGATTGTTTTGCATAACTAATGAACACATATTGTGAGAGATCATTCAAAGTAAAGTGGCCCATTAACAGCTCTGCAGTCATAGGACAAAAAAGGGGAATTATTGGGTTACAGATTGTTGTAATAAATCATAAATCTAGTGTCTGCTGATTTGATCATTATCTGGTGGTTGGATTTCAGGGACTGCATAGCTGTCCTGACAGTGGAGAGATTGTGGTAGATGTGATGTGCCAAAGGCACCATTGTAGTTCCTAACCATGATGACTATGTTAACGAGGCCGACTGACAACTGTCCAACACCATCTACTATAAAGAACTCAAAGACCATCCAACAGCACAATTCACAGAGAAATGTAAAGATATCACCAAATCTTTTCCTAAAAAAATCCAAGGGAAACTCTACAACTTCATCCCCCACGACCACACCCCAGGGACCTGCTACATACTTGCTGAGATATATAAACATAATCTCTGGCCCTGGCACTCTTACTGAAGGAATCTCAGGACTCATCGAAACCATCCTCAAACCACTCACCACACAAAGGGCCAGCTTCCTCCAGAACACAACTGACTTCCTCCAGAACCTCTGCAACATTAACAGTCTCCCTCCAAACACCATCCTTGTCACCATGGATGTCACTTCCCTACCTAGCAACATCCCTCGCAATGATGGCATGCGTCACTGCCTCCCTCAAATATCTACAAACAATGGACAACACTCAGCTATCCACCGCAAACACATCGCTAAACCCATCCATTTCATCCTCACCCATAACAATTTCACATTCAACAACAAATACTGTGTCCAAACCATGGGAACCCCCATGGGTACTAGGGTGGCTCCCCAAAATGCCAATCTCTAAATGGGCCACCTTGAGGAAGAATTTCTGAAAACACCACCCTATGATATACCTGAGATACATCAATGTTATTTTCATCCTTTGGACAGATGACCTAGACTCCCTCAGGTTTCCACCACAACTTTAACAACCACCACCCATCCGTCAATCACTCTCTAGAACACTCCTGCACCCGCATCAACTTCCTGGACACTACAATCATCTTCAACAATGGAACTCTACAGATAACTGTATACAAGAATCTCATGGATCACCATGCCTATCTTCACAGATCCAGTAACCGCTCCAAGAAATCTGTTATCTACAGCCAGGCCCTCAGATACCACAGAATATGCTCCTAGGAGGAAGTCCAGGATACAGATCTTAGCACACTTAAAACTGCCTTCACCATACAAGGACACTCCACAAGAGAAGTAGATCGCTTCAGGGAAATGGGCCACCCAAATACCCCAAAAAAAACTGCTTCAATAAAAAAAAAAAAAAAAAAAAAAACTTTTGACCACACACACCTAGTTGTCACCTACCACCCCACACTGGAACCCAGATGATATATCATTAAATAATTACAACCCATACTCGACTGGGACCACATCCTGAAATAAATCTTTCCCAACCCTTCTTCTGGCCCTCAAACATCCCCGCAACCTCAACAATCTCATCATCAGAAGGAAGCTCCCCACAGACCAGGACCCACCAACTCAGAGCAGCACCAGACCCTGACATAACAACAGATGCAAAACCTGCAGACATCTCTCCATTGCTATAATGATCAATACCCCTCACAAAACACCTTTCAAGATCTATAGGTCCTACACATGCCTATCACAAAATGTGGTATACCTCGTCCAGTGGATTAAATCCTCCAATAACAACTACGTGGGTAAAACTAGACAGTCACACAGAAAAATGATAAGACACAAAAACACTGCATCACCTGTGAGGGAACACTTTTCACAAAGCAATCACTGTATATCTGACCTCTCAGTCCTTGTCCTCAATGGAAACCTTTACAACACGAGACTCGGACCTTAAATTCATAACTTTGCTAAACACTAAAAATCATGGTCTTAATAAAGACACTGGATTTATGGCTTATTACAACAATCTGTAAACAATTTACCCCCCTTTTTTTGTTCTATGCCTGCAAAGGTTTTAATTGGCCACTTTGAATCCTCTTTCACAATATGTGTTAACTTCTTATGCTAAACAATCTGTTTCATTTTGTGTTTAGCTGTGACACTTGGAGTACCTTTCCCAGACCTGAAGAAGAGCTCTGTGTAGCTCAAAAGCTTATCTCGTTCTCCAACAGTAGTTGGTTCCATAAAAGATATTACCTTACCCACCTTGTCTCTCTAATTTTGACACTGTCCCTTTTATAGTAATTGCACAATTACCTTCTGGACATGACAGTTTGGATTAGTCAAATTCTTTGTCTTAATTCCTGCATCATATTTGGCTGCCAAATTATTCCACAGAATACACTAGATTAGGTTATACAGTACCTGATTTTCAGACTCTTGTAGTTGTCTAGTCAAATTATTTAACAACATGTCTGTCTCTTTAGCTTTCTTGACTGTGTTTGTAGAAAGAGGAAGAGTTCCATTACAGTTTGGGTCACCACATTGTTCGTTTCCATTGCTATTTCGACATAAAGCTCTCCCACAACTTGTCATAACACATGACAGGTTTCCAGGTAGCCCACAACTCTGCAATAAAAGCACATTAATGGCAAGAAGCAATACGTGATGAGCTTTTCATGATTCTGAAATGTAAGAATATTTGACATTTATAATGGCACTTTTCTCCTAAAGGATCCAAAAAGACTTCACAAAATACAACGCCACTGAGATGGATAGTGGGCAGTGAACCAGCTGACACACACTATATAATGGTCGATAAAGTGGGGGAGCCTTTTGGACAATGACAACAGTGAAAACTGCTAGTCTTACAAAAAGTGCTGTGGGATGCTGAGGCCCCATGTACAGTATAAATATAGTCATGTCAAGGAATGCAGTTAGAGCTGGCTCATCCCCTCGCCTGGTTACATCTGTGGTTCACATCTGAAGTGTAGGCTGAACCTTAACTATGTCAGTAAAGCCATGGCCTAACCATGAAACCATAGGCCTAACTGAGTTATAAAACATGGTTAAGGTCCAACCTTTGTTACAAACTGAACCATGCTTGTAACCAGGCTAGACAACAGAATTGTAACCGGGTTCTTTGACATGGCTTTAATCTCATGTGACCTTTAGACAAGGCGTTAATGTCCATACAGAGCAGACAGCACCTCTGTTTTTAAGACCTCATCCCCAAGATCCCTCCCACCTCACAGGGTCCTAGAGCCTGGGCTTCTGCCTGAGCCCAGAAATCTACACTGCAGTAAAACAGCCCCACAGCCTGAGTCCTGTGAGCCTGAGTCAGCTGGCACGGGCCAGCCACGGGTCTCTAGTTGCTGTGTAGACATACCCTGAGATCTCCTTTTCCAAATTTAAAAGTATTGCAAACATTCCTTTAAAAAAAGAGTGTATATCAGTGTTACTGATTGGCAACAGCAAAAGCAAGTATTTTATTTATCTCCCATTTAAAAATAAAACCCATAGCACTTTACCTTTTCATTCCGTTTTTGGATATCTGGAGTCTTGAACATCCTGAGCTGCTCCAAGGTATAGTTTTCTTTTGAGGTTCGATTGCCTAGCATGGCAAGTATGCCATTCCTGGCGTTTTCTGAGTATCTTATGATGGGGACTGCTCCACTGATTTTCTGTACAGCGGATGATGACATTTGGTAATACTTCCTGATATTGCTGAAGGAATCTACACAAAGAGAAACAGCATTTAATATATGAGAGGCAGACCATATTTTTATTGTACCTAACAAATACATTCTTGATACATGATGAGTAGCAGTAGCTTCACTAGGTTGTCAGCTGGTTCTTGGCTCTGGATGAGAGAGGACATTAAGCTGGAGAAGCCAGGGATTGTGATTTTCTGTCAGGTTTGTGAATCTTTTATTTAGCCAGCTATGTAGATTTTTATTTTAGAGCTCTAGTTATTGAAAGCCTAAAAACAGATACAACAGGGGTGGTTCCCACATCGTTTTTCCACGTCCAAGATATGGGACAGCCAAATAAAGATTCCAGTGTATGAACGGGTTCTGATTAATGACTCAGACAGCTATTTACTTATACCAAGGGCTCATGAGCTGATGGAATTATTGACTAGATGCAGCGTCCAGTCACTTCTGCCACCAGCCACTGTCAAAAAGCAGGATACTGGGCTAGATGGACCACCGGTCTGATCCAGTATGGCCATTCTTGTGTTCTGCTCTTTTGTGGTTGGGATGGGAGAATTAATTTTGCCAACTGAAACCCCCCTAAAAATTGTCATTTCTATTATCACAATTCAGCAAAGTACTTAAGCCCATCCCTATTCATCATAGCACTTAAAAGTTAAAGAGGTGTTTTACTGAATTGGGTCATAAATGTAGAACAGAGATTGAAATTTCTGAGGTTTCATTTGGCTCTGGAAAAATGCAATTTCAGGTTTGATGCATTCTTAATTTTTTTTTATTCCCCTATTAAGCCCATAAACAAGAGAAGAAATGCCTTCAAGCAAGAACCTTTCTTGTTTCCTTAGCTTAAGCTTTCAAATTTGTATTGAAACACAATAGTTTAAGGGAACATTTTTCTGAAACTCAAACATTTTGCAAAACTCAAAATTTTAAGAAAAAGTTGTAAAAGTTTCATAAAAACTACAGATTGCACTGCGTTCTCCCATCGTGTTAATGTGTGCAGTGAGTAGAGACTCACGTGGCTTCATTGCAGTGAAGTATTATTTATAGGTCATTGCATATCATATGTCTCTATTTTCATAACCAACTCAGGGCTTGTCTACACTTAAAAAGCTACAGCTGCATAGCTGCGCTGCTGCAACTGCACCTTTGTAGCGCTTCAGTGTAGATATTACCTACCCTGATGGGAGGGAGTCTCCCATTGGTGTAAATAATCCACCTCCCTGAGAGGCGGTAGCTAGGCCAATGGAAGAATTCTTCCATCAACCTAGTGCTGTCTACACAGGGATTTAGGTTGGCTTAACTGCGCCACTCGGGTGTGTGTGTGTGTGAATTTTTTACACTCCTGAGAAGGAAGTTATGCTGACCTAATTTTCTAGTGTAGACCAGGCCTCAGCTGGATACTAGAGGCCTGATCCAAAGCTGACTGAAGTTATGAAAACTTCTAACTTCAATGGGTTTTGAATCAAGCTGCAAAGCCAGAGCTGGAAAGTTAATTTAACGAATATGCATCAGTTGTGAATATTCATTTTAAGGACATTGATGTTTGTGTCTTTCCACTAACTCTAATTAACCACTATAATATTGACATGCTCTAGTCTGCCAGCCAAGCGAATACTTAGGAGGAGATCTATACACTATTGACCCTCTGTTTTGCAGGGTCTTATGCAAAGACAGACATGTGGGGTCCCATTCCCCACCCATGGCTCAGGCTTTCTAACCTCACCATACCCACATCACACAAAAGGGAAACAACTCTGATGTGGGGCTGGCACCAAACTGAGGATAGATGGGAGGAAAGAAAAAACAGACTGAACAGGGAGGAAGGCTCATGAGAGAGCTGGCAGTCTGGTGGCAGTGCTTATTGTTGGAGCTGTCAGATACTTGGTGGCAGGGCTAATGGATGCATAGGGCCATGACTCCGTATGTAGTATAAACCAGAGACTTCAGTTATGGGTGTTTTATATGAATGTCTGACTGTTGGTCTCGAAAAGGTTGAAAGCATGAAAAGGACTCGGAATCTGACCAAACGGCATTAACAGGTTAAGCTACAAAGGTACATAAATCAGTGACCTGCTTACCACTTTGCATAAAATGTTCTTTCTTAGCCCCGCTTTGAATAAGTTTCTCCAGCTTTATTGATTGCTTTGAGAAAATCTGTGCAAGAAGTGATCAACGTGGGAATAGCACCACGTTGTGCTGAAACACTAGTGCACCAGCCTGAATGGAGGAGTCAGGCACAAAGGGGTGTGGCAGAGTGGATCAGTGCAGAGAAGCTCTGCATCTCAATTAGTTGTTTTCTTTCCTTCCTTCTTTCGTTCAGATTTATCTTTCATCCTCTTTCATTCTTTTAATCTTATTTAGCTCCATTTTATTCTTATTGAAATAAAGCAGCAAGAAACTTTGAATTTAGAGAAGTGCTGGTATTTTGCTTCATGTAAGCACTGAGCACATTAATAAAATAATAACAATAGCAAGCCCTGTTTGAATGTACACATATTCTATACACTGGAATTAGTTTAAACTTTACATCTTTCTGACAGTATTATAGAAATAAGAGTTAGGTTCTTTATTGTATCGTATGGTATTTGACATTCCAGCCATAGTCTTCCAGAATCCAAGGTCTTTCTTATCTTGAGCACTATTTGTCTTGAACACTGATCAATCAGTAGGGTGGTTTGTACTGTATGTACTCCACTGTCCTTACTGAATGGACTAACATCTGCTCAATGTTTCTGCCTCATTCTCTAGAGGCTGGCCTATAAAGAGGATGTGAGCTCTACTCCTACCAGCTGATGGAGATTCTACTTAGCACGAGTTAATATTAAGCATAATTCACTTAAGAATGCAGTATGAACAGGAACCTTTTTCTAACACTGCAATTCTCTGTGATGCTGAGCAAGTCACTTCACCACTCTGAGCTCTGTTTTCCCCAGATGTATATTGCGAGGATATTCAGATTCCAAGGCCAAAAGTGATCACTGTGATCATCTAGTCCAGGGGTCGGCAACCTTTCAGAATTGGTGTGCCGAGTCTTCATTTATTCACTCTAATTTAAGGTTTCGCCTGCCAGTAATACATTTTAATGTTTTTAGAAGGTCTCTTTCTATAAGTCTATAATATATAACTAAACTATTGTTGTCTGTAAAGTAAAGAAGGTTTTTAAAATGTTTAAGAAGCTTCATTTAAAATTAGATTAAAATGCAGAGCCCCCTGGACCAGTGGCCAGGGCCCAGGCAGTGTGAGTGCCACTGAAAATCAGCTCATGTGCCGCCTTTGGCACGCGTGCCATAGGTTGCCTACCCCTGATCTAGTCTATATTATATGGGAAGTCAGGCCATAGAACTTCCCCAAAATACTTCCTAGAGCAGATCTTTTAGAAAAACATCCAATCTTGATTTTAAAATTGCCATGGTTAGAGAATCCACCACAAGCCTTGGTAAGTTATTCCAATGGTTAATTAACTTCACTGTTTAAAATGTTCATCTTATTTCCAATCTGAATTTGTGTTGATTCAACGTCTAGCCATTGAATCTTGTTTTACCTTTGTCTGATAGACTGAAGAACCCACTATCAAATTTTTGTACTTCAGGTAGGTACTTCTAGACTTCGAGTTACTCCTTAACCTTCTTTTTGGTAAGCCAAATAGATGAAACTGCTTGAGTCTATCACTATACAGCATGTCTTCTCTGAACCCTCTCCAGTTTATCAACATCCTTCTTGAATTGTTGATACCAGAACTGGATATGGTATTCCAGTAGTGGTCGCATCATTGCCAAATAAAGAGGTAGTATAAACCTTCCTACTTGCGACTCCCCTCTTTATGCATACAATGATCACATTAGCCCTTTTGGCCACAGTGTATGCTATTGATATGACCTGCTTCTTAATTAAATAATGTTTGCATTTATAGAGCGCTTTACAAAATACTCCTCTACCTCGATATAACGCTGTCCTCGGGAGCCAAAAAATCTTACCGCTTTATAGATGAAGCCGTGTTATATCAAACTTGCTTTGATCCGCCAGAGTGCGCAGCCCCCCCCCCGGGAGCGCTGCTTTACCGCGTTATATCCAAATTCATGTTATATTGGGTCGCGTTATATCGGGGTAGAGGTGTATTACTAAGGCCAGTCAATGTTAGAGGAGGGAACAGAACCCAGGTCCTCTTAACTCCCAACCCATTATAAACCAGGGGGCTTTTGAGGCCTACCTCTGCCTTTTTTACATGGCTGCTCTGGTATGAAATTCTGAATGCTTGAAGTCATGGAATTTTGAGCTAAAAGTGGATTTGCAAGTTGATCTGTGAAAAAATGGTGGCAGTTTTTAAACTATTGAGATGTTATGGAAAGCTAAAATCTGAGGATTTAAAACCATGCAAAATGAATTGGCAAAAAATTTTTGTGTGAAATGTCATGGAAAATGTTCTCTTATTTTGATTAGCTGTTGGTCTTCTTACCTTTGTGGCTCAAATTATTCAAATTGTGATATAGATGTATTTTCTGTTTCAGGTTTTCATACAGCTGGTCAGCTTCTTTCCTAATGTTGTCTATGATCCCATTCAGGTCGGGAAATTCATCCATTTTATTGTGATGTAGGTCCATTTGTGCAACTTTTTGTCTACAGAAGCAAAGTGCAGTTGTACAGTAATCATTCTAGATTTATTATTAATCTAGGAGTGAGCTACATATTATTTTAGATGACAACAGTTTATCTTAGACCAGAAGGAAACATTCACTTGTGGCATCATCATATTTAGGAAGGTCAGAGGACTAAGTGAAAAAAGGCCAGCATTTACATTCCCAATTTTATTGACACTTTCTGTAAGGATGTCATTCTGTGTGCTTCAAGCTCAGATCGGTCATGATAAAACCTGTTGTGGAGATTTATCAATCTTCCATTCCTCAAATGCTTGAAGTCATGGAATTTTGTTAAAAATTGCCAGTGAAGGATGCAGACAATGCTCTTGCAAAAATGTTTGAACATCAAATGTTTGGCGAGCCCCCAGATTCACATGTTCAAATATGTATTTGCATGTGCAGAGTGGGTGAATGCATATGTGATTGGCTAATTAGGCATTCAACCACTCTATTTGTGCATGCAAATACTTGTTTGCAGCATGCCATTGTAGTTTTGCAATCACATGCCTTTTGAAAATCTGGGTGTTAAATCAGGCCTCTTAAAGTCTTTTAAAGTGCATCTCTGACTGTTATGTGTATTTAGTCACTGCCCCATTCCTTCTTCCAATGCTTCCTCCCAGCCTGGAGCTTCTTTCTGAAGTGTTTTTAATTGTAAGTTTTAAGAGGTGCTGCACTGGAGCCTTTCCTCCCTTTGTGCTCACCTTGCTCTGACTGGATTGTCAACATTATTGCTTCACCTCTTCCATTATTCTGATGTGATACCAATACCCCATTAGTTTCACTCATATATTATTAGCACAATGTCCGGATACTGTGAAGCTCTTGTACATTAGTCAGTTATTAATCTATGTATTTATTACATATAGCTTCAGATACCTACTCACTTGTGAATATAGAAACCTCCCTGCCTTTCAGGGATTTATACATGCACTTGAATTATGTGCAAGTCTGTGCCCTGGTCTACATTACAAACATATGTTGATATAACTACATTGCCCAAGAGTGTGGAAAATCCACATGCCTGAGCGACGTAGTTATACCAACCTAATTCCTGGTGAAGACAGCAGCTACTGCCTCTCAGGGAGGTAGAGTACCTGTTCAGATGGGAGAAGCCTCCCTTCGGTGAAGGTAGTGTCTTCACTAAGTTCTACAGCGGTGCAGCTGCACCAGTGCAGCGCTGTAAATGTAGACAAGCCCTGTGTCTCAGGCACAAGCAATCCAGGACTCTGGAGTGCTTGTATTTGCCTACTGAGAGGATCTTAAGGCTATCGCAGTCTTTGAGGTCATCTTAAAGGATTTTGATCAGCTGGAAGTTCAGTTTGTCTGAGCACCTAAAGTTTGGAACTTCTTGAATCTGCAGCTGGATACTGTTCAGCGCAGACCTGAGGTTGTTCTAAATTATGCTGGTGTGATGGACCAGCCTGCAGCTGACCTTGGGTTCAGGGAAGTGAAAAAGTGTTTTAAAGCCAACTTGGCCCCTCCCTCGCCTCAACTGCATCCGACAGGGCTGTGATGCAGCTGAGGATTTGAGCTGTTAATGGGATACACAATAATAAATATATTGATGATTTAGGATCATTAATTGACAATCCAGTATCTGCATGGTGATCACAAACAGAACTATAAATATATTGCACAACTATTAAAGTAGAGTGGAAGATTGCTTTTCCAATTCAGTGACATTTATAATGCACTTCTGTTCTACAAGAGAAAATATTACCGAATGTAGTCATGAAAATCCTTGATGTTTAAGAGTGTCTCCAGTGAAAGAACAGGAGTTTTTAAAATTCTTTCTATTTCAGAAATCTTATCTTCTAAGCCTTTGAAGCGCATATCACAGCCGGGCCTTGTGTCTCTTTTATCTTCTAGATTTGCAGCAAATCTCATTAACCCCTGAACAGTTTGAGATAGGGTAGTAATTTCATTATCCCACTGATCAAAACAAAGGTGACACCGAGAGCATGTGGGAAATTCTTGTCTGAAGCCTCGACCACACTGATCACAGAGCTTTCCAGTAACACCAATGCGGCAGTTGCAAGCTCCAGTGTCTTTGTCACACTCGGGTTTGCGAGTTCCTTCCTCGTTACACGTACATGCTGCGGGGGGAGGCAGGAACATGACATTGCTTCTTTTAGATGTTAATTGAGTTATAGGGTAAACCATGAAAGATAACGCAATTCAATACAAATAAACATTTTTTGCCATTTATTGACGTATAGTTATTGGACCATGTAGGCTGGGATTTTCAGAGGCACTTAAGGGAGTTAGTCCTAAACACTATTGCAATGTTGATCACAATAAGCAAAACACAGTTTTTATACAAATAATTGCTACAGCCGCGGTTCCCAAACTGTGGGTCGCGACTTCAAATGGGGTTGCATCATCAGCCGATGGGGTTGTGGCAATCCCTACCATTTTGCTCCTCACAGCGTGACCTCACATGTACAGTGTGTGCGAGGTCACAATGTATGGATGACACCATTTTGCTCTACAAAATTGTGTCCCCCATGTTGTCTGGGATCCTGGAAGAAAATAATTCACTAAAATGGGTTCATACTGGCAAAAATTTTATGAACCATTGTATTACAGGTTTCTTTTATGCACCATTATATACTATTATTATCTGACAGTGAGATCTGTTAGGCTGGGCAATAATCTCCTTAGAGAAGGGCTAAATGCCACATCTTGTGGGTCATTTAAACTAGACTAGTCAAAACGCTATAAAATGTACCATAGAGAACAATGCTGGAGTTGCATAGACATGGACTTGGTAATCTAACAGGTCTTTTGCAACTCTAATTTCCATGATTCTATGATAATCTTACAGGTGACAAACATGGTAAATATTATGTAACAGTTTTTAATCTATATTCCAGAAAAAAAGCTAAATCAAAACTATTTCCCTATTTGTACGTCTTGTCTACTATATTCAGATGAAGGTGTAACATTTAAAGACAATATTGTGATTTCTGATACAGTACATCCCCCCTAATAATACTTACAAATACAATGCATCCGTGGATCACCAAAGTAATTTTCCTCACATTCATCACAATGTCTTCCACTGTAGCCTAGTTTGCATGAACATTGGCCTGTGAACTGCAAAGACAGCCTTCAGTAAACAACTGCCAGCAATATGATTATGTATGCAGTGTTGTTGTAGCTTTGTCGGTCCCAGGATATTCGAGACACAAGGTGAGTGAGGTAAACAGAAATTGGTCCAATAAAAGATAGTACCTCACCCACCTTGTCTCAGGAATATGATTTGGAAGAAATAGTACGACCCAACTGAATAAACATTTAATTCAATAGATTTTTTTTTTTTTGCTGTGATTTATGACATACAGCTGCACAAAGGATGTAGTGGGATTGTTCACATGCTTTTTTAAAAACAGAATGAGTTACAGGATTGGCCCAAATCTCCCAAAAAATGTTACCATGCTCCAGCTGCTTAGTGACATATGGTTAAAAGTTGGGAAATCACACAGATGGAAGTGAAAACAAAACGGATGCATGGAAATGCCCTTAGTTTACTGAGATGAAGGAGTTCACATGTTCCAAACCTCATTATTGACCTCTGAGAAGATAAATGGTAGACGCTCCTAAACTCAGCTATCCCCGGCTATTTTCTGCCCATCTGAGGCAGGGTTTTTCTGTTGTTTATAGCAAATTTGCTTCATCAAATTCTTTTTCCTCCCAGGCTAAACTACTGATCTTTAGATCCCAGTTTCAGGATACATTAACTGTAACTTAGAATCTCAAGGTTATATTGTGCAAATTGTCCCAGAAAACATATTTTGGAATTCAAACAATAAAATTAACCTGGTTAAATTAACTGGTGAAAGCTGTACTAACTTTCTAAAGGTTAAGATCTAATTTGACTAGGAAAAATTACAAGTCCAACAATTAAACTAAAGAACAAACAAACAGAAAACACTTATAAAATAAAATCTGAAATTCTTTTAGTTAGAACTGTAGGATAAGATCCCATTGCCATGGAAGTCAGTGGCCAAACTCCCACTGATTTCAAAGGGATCAGAATTTCAACCACAGATTCAGCCTTGGAAAAACTTTGGATTTTTCCAGACCCCCCCGAGCCCTATAAAGTACATATAGATTAAATATGATAAAACATAACTCATTTCATGATAAGATATAAACAAATGACATGACTTCAGTCTGAGAGACAAAGGATACGTCTACACTTACCTCCGGGTCCGACAGCAGGCAATCGATGTTCTGGGATCGATCCCGGAAGTGCTCGCCGTCGACGCCGGTACTCCAGCTCGGCGACAGGAGTATGCGGCATCGATGGGGGAGCCTGCCTGCAGTGTCTGGACCCGCGGTAAGTTCGGACTAAGGTACTTCGAATTCAGGAATTTGCGTACCTTAGTCCGAAGTGGGGGGGTAGTGTGGACCAGGCCAAGGTGAGTGAGGCAATATCTTTTATTGGACCAACTTCTGGGAAAGGTTTTCCCAGTGGTCACAGCAAAATGGGAGGTGGAACGGATTGTTTAGCACAAGTAGTTAACATATTGTGAGAGACCATTCAAAGTGAAGTGGCCCATTAACACCTCTGCAGTCAAAAATGTTACCTCACCCAGCTTGTCTCTCTAATATCCTGGGACCAACCTGGCTACAACAACATGACTTTAGTTACTACCACATGCAAATAAATACTTAAAAGGACACTGTCGAGGTTGCCGTTGGGTTCAAAATTTGACTAATTCTTTCCCCTTACACACACTTATAAAGGCATATAATCCTTGTGTGCCATTTCCACACAAAATGCTTCAGTGCTCCATTTCAGGAAGATACATGAATGTAAAGTAGGGTTACCATCCGTCCGGGTTTCCCCGGACATGTCCGGCTTTTGGGTCTTTAAATAGCCGTCCTGGGGGAATTTATAAAAAGCTAAAAATGTCCGGGATTTCCCCCCGGACGGCTATTTAAAGACCCAAAAGCGGCTGACAGGGCAGCCGCGCCGGATTGAGCCGCTCACTTGGGGCCGCTCCGGCAGCAAAAGCCCCTCCCCTGCAGCTTCAGCACGCTGGTAGCAAAACGGGAGCAGGAGCTGTTTGTGCCGCTACACCCAGAAAGCCACCCCCCTGCTCATGGCAGCCGGCCCTGATTGGCCAGCCCCGCTCCCTCCCCCACGCTGGGGGCGAGTCAAGAAACAGGGAGCAGGAGGGTTGGATGGGGTGGCGGTTCTGGGGGGACCTGTCAGGGGGCAGGGATGTGAAGAGGGATTGGGGCAGTCAGGGGACAGGGAGCAGGGGGAGGGTTGGATGGGTCAAGGGTTCTGGGGGTGGCCTGTCAGGGGGCAGGGGTGTGGAGAGGGATTGGGGCAGTCAGGGGACAGGGAGGGTTAGATGGGTTGGAGGTTCGGGGGGGGGCAGTCAGGGAACAGGCAGCGGTTGGATAGGCGTGGGAGTCCCGGGGATCTGGCGGGGGCAGGGGTGTGGATAGGAGTCAGAACAGTCAGGGGACAGGTAGGGTGGGGGGGTCTCAGGAGGGGGCAGTTGGGGACAAAGATAAGGGAGGCTTAGATAAGGGGTGGGGTCCCGGGGGGTGATTAGGGGCAGGGGTCCCGGGAAGGGGCGATCAGGGGACAAGGAGCAGGGAGGGTTGGATGGGTTGGGGGTTCTGTGGGGGGCAGTCAGGGGGGCGGGAATTGGGAGGGGGTGGCTAGGGGGCGGGGCTACACCCCCCCCCGGAGTGTCCTCTTTTTTGAAAGTTCAAATATGGTAACCCTAATGTAAAGAGCTCATTGTTCATGAGCAAACCTGCCATAACAAAACAGCGTGTATTATATGATGCACCCAAACAAAAAAAAAAGATAAATTAATTTGTGACCGCTTCAAAGAAAGCTAAGAAATTGTTATTAACAATGAGAAAAACAAAAGATTTTGATAATTTATGAGAGATTCTTTGACCGTGTCCTTTCAAAATGTCCCTGTAACTTCAGACATTAGATCTCCCATCTAGCAGAGTCGTTATCTTGCCTGATTGCACTGGTTACTTTGAGAGTTTCTTGGTTTACAGTCACAGAACTGACATCCTATTCCATGAGACATGTTCCAATAGCCAGAAGCACACTGGTCACAGATAGAACCTATTACATTAGGTAAGCAAGGGCATACTCCAGTCATTTGGTCGCACAGGCAAACTCCATTTCCAGGTGGACATATTGCTGGGTTCACACCTGAAAAATTGCAAGTACACCCTGGAAAGAGAATGCCAGTTATTATATTGAGTAAAATAAGATAATGTTTAAAATACATTTAATACCTTTAATTCTTGTTTCTGTGTGAAGGGAACAAGTTTTTGCTTCTTTTCTTAGAGCATTGTACTGTACTGCATCTCATTTCATAGTGGACTCTCTCATATGAGCCATATACAATGGGAGGAAATCTTGAAGAATGACTAGGAATGGCAATTCAACTGACAGTGCTAACACAATTAGCGAGTACTGTATTTGTTCAGCACTTTGAAGATAGTATTACATAAGTTTCCATCATGTGTCTACCAGCCCTGTAAAAGCCAACTCCTCTGTGCACCATGATTTCTTTAAGGCAGACCTTAGTTCTTGGTGGTAATATTTACTTGCAATTGAATTGTTTACTTACTTCTGCAGTTCTGAAGAAGTGCTGACCCAAAGTAACCTGGTTTGCAGAACTGGCAGTTTGGTCCATGTGTGTTGTATAAACATTTTAAGCATTCTCCTGTAACCTTGTTACAGGATTCTGGATCTGTCGCATCGATATTATTATTGCAGGAACATGGCAAACACTGAGCCCCTGGTCTTCCTGGATTCCCATAGAACCCACTGGGGCACTCATCACATTGATTGCCTGCCAGAAAGGAAGGCAAAATCAATTGCTGAGTGCTAGGAACACAAATGAAATCATCTTTTGACAAAACTGTTTGACAATTCCTACTGCCTGTGATAACCTACATTTAGATGCGAGTTTCCCAAGTAACCTTATATTATCCAATTGGACATTGTTGCATTTGAGTTGTACAGTAGGTTAATATTGAATGTACCACATTGGCCAGAGGCTGGAAATGTGCAGCCCTCCCCGCCACAACATCTCTTACCAAGGAAGTCCCTGCGAGAGTGGTTTTAGGAGTTGGAAAATTCTGCAGGACTCTTTGAGGAGTTTTTCCTCAAACAAGCCCATGTGAGGCTATGTGGTTTGCCACACTCATGGCATGGGCCACAGATCTGCTCCAGAACCAGCAGATCCCCATGATCCATACAGTTCCTGAGGGACTTAGCCAGGGCCATCCTCATATAGGCTCTGTTTCTTTATTGGCTCTGGGCCTCCTCATCACCCTGGCATTACAGCTGCAATGGAGTTCCAGGGCCCCTCCTACTTGCAGCTGCCCAAGGGGCTATATTACTATATCTCAGAAATCTTCATGGGCTGGTTGGGGGCCAGTGTGACTCCACTTCACCTCTGGCTGGCTCACTCCCAACCAGCGCCTGTCCACTCTCTGGTCTTGGTCCATAACAGTCTCCAGAGCCTTTCACAGGCTCTTAGGAAGTGAGGATATTGCCAGACAGGTGGCTAACGTCTAACTGTGGAGATCTCCCACTGAGTGCAGATCTTGGAGGTATGACCAGATCCGCAGTAATTATTCATAGCAGAAGTCCCCTGGATAAGTACTGATCAGGACAAGTACAATTCTTCAGGGTTTAATCAGAACTGCAAAGGGCATTTGGCCTGAGTAAAGATTATGGAATTTGACACAGTGTTAGCATGTCTTACGATTTAGTTTGGACTAAGTAAAGGTGGATACTATGTCAGAAGTTGGCAGCATATTTTGAGAACAAAAGGTTTTGTCTTATATACATGCTGCCAATAGGAAATAAAGCCAGCACTGCCATTTCTACCTCCCACCTTCTCCTTTAGGAATGGCTGGTGAAAGAAAAAGTATCAACTATGTTTTTCCTGAGGGTCTTTGGATATAAACATCAGCTAACTTTATTTTCTGTTTTAAGCATTCATTTAAGGTAACTTTTTCCATCTCACAAAAATAGCTGGTTTCATTCTGATGGAGAAAGGAATGGAAAAGCACTTTCATTTCCCCCCCCCCCGGAGATTAAGACTAATTTGACACTAAGAAATAGAGCAACATGTAAAATAACCCAGAATGAAACCACCCATTTGCAAAACAATAGTTAGAAGTAAGAAAAAACTCTGCGGTGATTGAGAGATCAGATCAAAACTCGTGTATAAGAGCTTTTCTCTTATGGGGCAGCATTTTAAACCGTTCACTACTTTGGGTGTCTCCGTTTTTGGGTATCCATGGCTTGTTTAGTTCAGAGAGGATGAGCACCTGCAACTCCCATTGACGTGAGCTCAGCACCACTGAAAATGAGGTCTGAAGGGGCAGATCCTCAGCTAGTGTAAACTATGATAGCTCTATTGACTTCAGTGGAGCTAGGACAATTTACACTAGCTGAGGATCTGCCCAGATTGAGCAGCCGATATTGGAGCACACTTTCGCAAATCTGAGCCTTAATTCATAAGGAGTTAATAGAAGGACAGACAACAGGTTTATCCAGTAATAAATGAAAGTAGAAATAGATTAATTTGCTTAATTGAGTCTAGTTTTCTTGGGTTTCTTCTGGTTTCCTTAGTTGCTTGTTGGAACATTAATTGCAGAACTATTGCTTTCTCTGGATGGTCAGTTACTACATGATTCCCCCCTCTGTCCCAATCAACCAGACACTAGCCTTCTTTATCTACCGTATTTTCATTATTCCACTCTATTGTTGAGCAGATGGGTGGGAGTTAGTTGTAATTTTTCAGTCTTTCCTTAAGAACTGTAATATGATGAAAAATAAACTATATGTCTCATACCTGAGTAGCCCTCAAGACAATTGCAGATTAATTGCAAAGTGCGAGGATCTTGGTAACAGGAATGTGCAAAATATCTACTGCTTGCAGGTGACTCTGGACACATACATGGGCGACAAGGGTCTCTTGTGAGAGGATTTCCATAATAACCATTGACACACCTGTCAAAACAGTCACCACAGAGACACATTAAACTATCCTCATGACAGATATACCTCTCAGTCCATGCCGATAGCTTGGTTCATTCAAGTCCATGTTTTAAAATATGACAGTACTTGTCAATATAATGCTACTCCCATTATTTGGTATAGAAGTGTCCAGGCTTGAAGAGATTAAAGGAATTAGAATCACTGCTGTATTCCCCAAACATGGAGCAAATTACACATTTTATGTTAAAGGGGCATTGCCAAATAGTTCTGGCTCAATCATCCACCTCCTCAGAGAACCTTTTAGTCTAATTGGTAATGTAAAATTTTCTAAATGTATATATTTTAAATTTCCCACACCATCTCTGATACACTGACTAACTGTTATTTATAAAGGACCCACCATATTTTTGCTCTGCTACTTCTAAGACAGCTAGTCTACCAGCAGAAATCAACAAATAGCCTAAAGGTCATACTGTCTAAACCATTTTCTAGCAGAACTCCCCATAGAATTCAAAGGGAAGTTCTCCTTACACTGAATGGGTGGAGATGACTCAGCCAAACTAAACTAATCAGCCAACCAACCCTATTACTGTACCAGAATTATACTGACATCACTTCTGTTGCTGCAAGAACAGACAAGAAGAACTATTTCCAGCCCCATTAGAAACATATGGGGGAAATAATTTGTCATTCATATGGAAAAGCTACAAACCAGCAGACAGAGAACTGTTCATTTAGGCTCCTCAAAGATTATTGCAAACACAAAGTATGAGAACAAGTATTGAGAACTATTATTATTTTGGAAAATTTCCTTTAATAATTGGTAGGATTCACAATTCTAAGATATATGCAGCACCTTTCACATGCCTCAAGATACTGAGGGCTCAATCCTGTGAGGTGCTGAATGCCTCCTACCAGGTGCTGCAGTCCATTTTGGTCAATTTCACAGTCATTGGATTTTAAAAATTGTAAATTTCATGGTTTCAGATATTTAAATCTGAAATGCCAGGGTGTTGTAACTGTAGGGGTCCTGACCCAAAAGAGGGTTGTGCGGGAGTCACAAGGTTATTGTAGGACGGTTGCAGTATTGCCACCCTTACTTCTGTGCTGCTGCTCACAGCAGTGCTGCCTTCAGAGCTGGGCTGCTGGAGAGCAGTGGATGAGAGGTTGCTGGACGAGACCCCAGCTTTGAAGGCAGTGCCGCCGCCAGCAGCACTATGGCATGGTGTGGTATGGCCACCCTTACTTTTGCACTGCTGCCTTCAGAGCTGGGCCCTCGGCCAGCAACCACCACTCTCCGGCTACCCAGCTCTGAAGGTTTGAAATGGCATTGCCTCACACCGAAAGAGGCATATCAAGCTATCCACTAACATTCAGACACACTTTCTAGATGACAACCCGTGCATACCTTTCACACCTACTTCCAGCTGTAAACCCGCTGCAGCTAAGGCATGCACCAGTCACTGGGTCACAAAGCTCTGCGTAGCCATTACATGGACACGGGCGACAGTTGGGAAACCCAAAATACCCAGCCAGGCACCGATTGCAGCATCGACCAGCAACCTCTCGGCGGCATGAACACTGTCCTGTCAGCTGATCACACAAAGTGCTCACTGAGCCTTGAGGATGGCACTCACATGCTAGATAAACACAAGAAAAAGCAGACGCTGTGTTATGGATCAGCTAAATTCTAAATGTATTTTCCTGAAACTGATCACCATCTGAGGCCATAAGTCTCAGATGTGGCTTCACTTAGATGTGCAGCAGGGGCTGTAAGGGGTCAGAGATGATTTTTTTATTTTATTACTGTAGGTTGATGAATATCAGTGGCTGGAAATCCCCAAAAGTTTGGTGTGCATAAGCTTATCTGAACCTCTTTGGCCTGCAGAAGTGGGCTGTGAATCACACGAGAAAAGCCTTCTAATAAGTCTTCTGGAATTGTCTGTTTCCAATCAGGCTGGAAGTACCATCAGAGCAATCATTTTTTTCAGCACTTCCATTTCCATTCCCAGTGGGAGCCAGAAAGTGCAGAGTCATATGGGAGTGGGGGTTGGGAGGAAAGCTAATTGTGCTCTTTGAATCTCAAATGAGGTTCACTTGGAGGGATGGTAAAGATTCAGTTTGCTTTTATATGAAGCACTGTTTAATGTTCACTGTTTAGTACTTACAGTAACATCCATGGAAACCAAAACCAAAACTTCCTGCAGAACATCTGTCACAACAGCGGCCTGCAACATTAGGTTTACATTGACATTGGCCTCCAAGTTGACTGCAGCTGGAGCTCAGGGACCCTTCTGGATGGCACTTGCATGCTGTTGGCAAGAAAATTTCATACACACATAATGAAAAATGAAGTTAACTATTTTCATGCTTTCCCCCTCCTTAGCAGGTTTTATACTCAGAGTTACCAGAGATGTGCTAAGAGAATAAAGCAGAGTCTGAGTCCCACAAACAGGGGGTTTATCGGCCACCAAATTATGTGCTTTGAACTATTTGACAATGTTACATTAATGATGATCTTATACCAGTCATCAATACGAGCCTTAAAGTTCTAATCTGGATCTGTAAAGTTCAGAATGTTGCAAAATTTGGATCCAGATATAAATACAGGGAAACCCGCTATAATGCGCCCCGCGATAATGCGAATTCAGATATAACGCGATCATAAGGTGGCTCCAGCTGCCTCAAGCGCGCAAAAAAACACCACCGGCCAGAGCGCCGCCGAAGCACGAAACAAACAAACAAACAAACAAAAAAGCGGCCAGAGCGCCGCCGAAGAATAAAACAATCAAACAAACAAAAAAAAGCAGCCGGAGCACCACCGAAGAAAAACAAAAGAACAAAAAAAAGAACGTGCCTTCCCCACTGCCTCTTCCCCCCTACCCATTTCTCCTTTTGGCAGGAAGAGCCATTCTCCTCCCCAACTGCTCCTCACTCTTCCTCTACCCCTTGCACATCTCCCCTGCTCTCTGCTCAAGAGAAATTGACCGGCTTGAAGCTGACCGGCTTTAAATGGTAAAATTTTCGTAACCCCGCTATACCGCGAGCCCGCATTTATCGCGATCGAATTTTTTGGACCCCAATCATCGCGTTATAGCGGGGTTTCACTGTATGCTCAAAGTTTGAGGTGTTTGGTTAAGGTCTAGCTCTATCTAATACTTTTGAAGAGAGATTTGTTAATGTTTGGATTTGAACATGCTCACAAATCCATTTACAGACATCATCAACGAATGGAGGTGGTAATAGCAAATCATAAATCATCATGCTTCAGCAAAAAAAAAATAAAAATGGAAATACCTTGATAATTACATCACTTGTGGTAATTCTGCTTAATGTCCTGGCTACCACCAGGAAGAGCAGAGTTGTGTAATTAGACATGATGGAATTATCTGTTGCAAGTAATGTACCTGATGAATGGTCACATTTTTGTTCGCCATAATAGCATTTGTAGGCCCGAGCTGCAATGCTTATTTTATGGGATGCAACAATTTTCCCCCTCATAATTTAACTTACACTATAGATGGTGGAATAATATGTAGCAGATAATTTATTTGATGATTTTTTTTTCTGTCAGTTGTGTATAAATTACTTGTGGATATTTTCCCCATTATTCAACTAACTCTGTGTGTGAGAATTAATCTCTTTCTCAGATACGCATGCACGAACGCACATGCACAGCCACCCACAGAGTGGCAAGGAATTCTTCAAATGGCAGAAATATTTTCTGGTTTAGATTGAAGAAAGGGTGATATTTTATCTGAACTGGGTTGCTCATTCTAAGCAATGAGACATTTGTTTGAAGGGCACACAATACTTTTCAGTGTACTGAGCAAGTCAGGGTAAGTATGACTTGTGGGTATTTTTGCAGGACTTGCTAGCAGCCACCAAATCACTGTTTCAGCTCAAATTTATCTGAGTCTTTTGTCTGCTGCCACAGTTGGACAGGGCAGTGTGGGTGAAAGGATGGCAGTTGGGCTATGTTTTTCCAGCACCAATCCTAGGCTCTGACCATGCAAACAAACAGTTACACATATCAGGGGGTAGCCGTGTTAGTCTGTATCTACAAAAACAACAAGGAGTCTGGTGGCACCTTAAAGACTAACAGATTTATTTGGGCATAAGCTTTCGTGGGTAAAAACCTCACTTCTTCGGATGCATAGAGTGAAAGTTACAGATGCAGGCATTATATACTGACACATGGAGAGCAGGGAGTTACTTCGCAAGTGGAGAACCAGTGTTGACAGGGCCAATTCAATCAGGGTGGATGTAGTCCACTCCCAATAATAGATGAGGAGGTGTCAATTCCAGGAGAGGAAAAGCTGCTTCTGTAATGAGCCAGCCACTCCCAGGCCCTATTCAAGCCCAGATTAATGGTGTTAAATTTGCAAATGAATTTTAGTTCTGCTGTTTCTCTTTGAAGTCTGTTTCTGAAGTTTTTTTGTTCAATGATCGTGACTTTTAAATCTGTAATAGCATGACCAGGGAGATTGAAGTGTTCACTTACTGGCTTATGTATGTTACCATTCCTGATGTCCGATTTGTGTCCATTTATTCTTTTGCGGAGGGACTGTCTGGTTTGGCCAATGTACATGGCAGAGGGGCACTGCTGGCACATGATGGCATATATAACATTAGTGGATGTGCAGGTGAATGAGCCCTTGATGGTGTGGCTGATGTGGTTGGGTCCTCTGATGATGTTGCCAGAGTAGATATGGGGACAGAGTAGGCAACGAGGTTTGCTACAGGGATTGGTTCCTGGGTTGGTGTTTCTGTGGTGTGGTGTGTAGTTGCTGGTGAGTATTTGCTTCAGGTTGGGGGGTTGTCTGTAAGCGAGGACTGGCCTGCCTCCCAAGGTCTGTGAGAGTGAGGGATCATTTTCCAGGATAGGTTGTAGATCGTGGATAATGCGCTGGAGAGGTTTTAGCTGGGGGCTGTATGTGATGGCCAGACAGAACACCACTGGTATATAATGCCTGCATCTGTAACTTTCACTCTATGCATCCGAAGAAGTGAGGTTTTTACCCACGAAAGCTTATGCCCAAATAAATCTGTTAGTCTTTAAGGTGCCACCAGACTCCTTGTTGTTTTTGTAGTTACACATATTCATAGATTCATAGATTCATAGATTCTAGGACTGGAAGGGACCTCGAGAGGTCATCGAGTCCAGTCCCCTGCCCGCATGGCAGGACCAAATACTGTCTAGACCATCCCTGATAGACATTTATCTAACCTACTCTTAAATATCTCCAGAGATGGAGATTCCACAACCTCCCTAGGCAATTTATTCCAGTGTTTAACCACCCTGACAGTTAGGAACTTTTTCCTAATGTCCAACCTAGACCTCCCTTGCTGCAGTTTAAGCCCATTGCTTCTTGTTCTATCCTTAGAGGCTAAGGTGAACAAGTTTTCTCCCTCCTCCTTATGACACCCTTTTAGATACCTGAAAACTGCTATCATGTCCCCTCTCAGTCTTCTCTTTTCCAAACTAAACAAACCCAATTCTTTCAGTCTTCCTTCATAGGTCATGTTCTCAAGACCTTTAATCATTCTTGTTGCTCTTCTCTGGACCCTTTCCAATTTCTCCACATCTTTCTTGAAATGCGGTGCCCAAAACTGGACACAATACTCCAGCTGAGGCCTAACCAGAGTAGAGTAGAGCGGAAGAATGACTTCTCGTGTCTTGCTCACAACACTCCTGTTAATACATCCCAGAATCATGTTTGCTTTTTTTGCAACAGCATCACACTGTTGACTCATATTTAGCTTGTGGTCCACTATAACCCCTAGATCCCTTTCTGCCGTACTCCTTCCTAGACAGTCTCTTCCCATTCTGTATGTGTGAAACTGATTTTTTCTTCCTAAGTGGAGCACTTTGCATTTGTCTTTGTTAAACTTCATCCTGTTTACCTCAGACCATTTCTCCAATTTGTCCAGATCATTTTGAATTATGACCCTGTCCTCCAAAGCAGTTGCAATCCCTCCCAGTTTGGTATCATCCGCAAACTTAATAAGCGTACTTTCTATGCCAATATCTAAGTCGTTAATGAAGATATTGAACAGAGCCGGTCCCACTTTATGCTTCACTTTACTGCCATGAGTAATCCCATTGAAAACAATATAACTATTCACGGTAACAAAGTTAAGCCCGTGCATAAGTGTTTACAGGATTGAGGCCCTAGAATGTAATCACTATTGATTTTTTTTAAAGTAACATAAAGAACTGGAAAATTATTCCTGATGAAAACTGAAATCTGTTAGCTTTTCCAGCCATATTTGTGACAAGCCTTTTGGAAAGGATAGCATAAATACTGTAGTTTCCCATGAATAGAAACCAGGGCTGGCTCCAGGTACCAGCCGAGCAAGCTCGTGCTTGGGGCGGCAGATTCTACGGGGCGGCATTCCGCCCAATCCTAGGGCGGCACGGCCGCTCTTTTGTTTGTTTGTTTGTTTTTTGTTTGCCGATCTGGCCGCCCTTTAGGGGGCGGAGGAGGGGAGCGCCCTGCTGGGAGCGGGCTGCGCGCTCCGTCTGCCCCAGCCGGTGCCAGGTTTGTAGCAAGCCCGGCAGGGCAGCCCACGTCCTTCCCTCCCCGCCGACGGGAGCGGCGCAGAGCCCTCCCAGCAGGTGGCGCGGCGGGAGGGGCTGCGTGGCGAGTGCCCCTCTGAAGCCCTGGCCGCCCCCCTTCTCTCTCTCCCCCTCTTCCTCTCCCTCCCCCCCGCTAGCCGGGGCACGTCTGCAGCGCAGGGAGTCCCCCTGCACCCTGGCTCCAGCCGCCCCGCAGGTTTTTTCCCCCCCGTATTGCCGCTCCAGCCGCGCTGCAGGTTCTTTTTTTTTTGCTTT